AGTGAGTGATATGAACTCAGTGAATTATTTCAATACTTTTCTTACAGTGCAAAGGCTTATGCTCTTATCTCTGGGTTCTGTCTTTAAAATAGCATTCTATCAATAACTTGAATTATACCATAAATAATTTGTATGATATTTAGCAACATATATGCATATATATGCATATATATATATATATGAAATAGCAATTAATGAAAAAGTTTATGAAATTTGAGGAGAGTGTGGAGGGGTATATGGGAGGATTGTGAAAGAGAAAAGAAGAAGGAGAAACGTAATAAAATTGCAAACCCACAAATAATTTAGAAAAAAGAAGATATGACATTGTAATTTAATGAAGGTAATGATTCAGAGAAATGTTCTTTAAATATTAATATGACCTGATATCAAAACAGATTTAAAATTGTTAAGCACACATTTTTTAATTGGTCATCAGCATAGAAAGATAAATGTAGATCAGCAGCCTTTTGGAATGCTAGGAAAACATCACAAATGTATATATATATATATATATATGTGTGTGTGTGTGTGTGTGTGTGTGTATAGTGGCTTTGGATGGAGAAAAGCAAAGGAGAAATGGAGCAAAGACATTAGAATCTGTATAAAAGAAATAATTTCTTTTAAATTAAAAGCAAAATTTTCTGTGTTGCAAAGACATATGAGATTCATTTAAAGGAAATTACATTAAATAGGGCCAAAACATAATTTAAAATCTCCTTTTAAACTTTACTACTGTATCCTATTTTAACAGGATTATAAATGTCCATTGAATGTGTTTTATTTGTACATAACTAACTGAACAGCTTCAAAATGACTATAAAGCATCACATCTTGCCTGAAAATGAGTAAATATGAAAGCATTTTTCTTGATAGTCTACTGATGTAAAGAGTGGAATTCATGGGGAAGCTGTGATCATACATGCATATATAACCTAGAAAGAAAGTGGTTCCAGACAGCTAATTATTCATCCAACTCTGTTGAAATTGGATATAGAAGAAGCATGATCTTGTGAGATATTTTTTTGTTTGTTTTTTTTGAGACAGGGTTTCTCTGTGTAGCTTTGGAGCCTATCCTGGCTCTTGCTCTGGAGACCAGGCTCGCCTTGGACTCACAGAGCCCTGCCTGCCTCCCCAAGTGCTGGGATTAAAGGCGTGTGCCACCAATGCCCAGCAATCTTGGGAGATTTTAAGAGATAAGAATTTCTATCTAAACATAACCCTTATTCTCAGTGTTTAATATTTCCCATTCCTTTACTCTTTATTTAAAAACAGAAAAAAGGGGCATTGTAAAGATGTCAAGAGCAAAACAAGTATAACAGGGAGAGACTGTTTTAGAAAATCATGCAGTTATACTTGACCCAATTATTAACAACCTCTCTACTTGGCCAGACCTTGTAGACCCTGACACAAGGACTGCAGCTGTTATTACTCTTATTGTTTTGAATAGATGTGATACAGTATGTTTGAAAAGGCCACAGGAATCAATTTATGTTTACCTAAAACTCTCTCTCTCTCTCTCTCTCTCTCTCTCTCTCTCTCTCTCTCTCTCTCTAAAACACCATGGTAACACAGGAGAGATTAAAGGAATATAGAGACAATGAGGTAGTTACAGGACTTAGATATGAAATTCCCCAAATGAATAAAAAATAAATTCAAACTTTGTGTCTAATAACAAATCCCCACATTACTTCTGATTACATGAATGTTTTTCTTTGAAGTATTTTTTTTTCATGGCAGCACTGACATCTTTATTCTTCATGCTGTATATCAACGGATTCAGCATAGGAACAACAGTAGTATAAAACACAGACAACACTTTCCCTTGGTCCATCGAATTCACTGATGATGGCTGTAAGTACATGAACGCAGCAGAACCAAAGAAGATACCAACAGTAGAGACGTGGGAATGGCAAGTACTGAAGGCTTTGGTCCTGCCTTTTGTGGAGCGAATGTGGAGGATACTGATATGGGTATTAGAGTGTGAAAGCTTCAAGAGGGGAAGCACACACACACACACACACACACACACACAAACACACGTACAAACCTCTCAAAACATTATATGTTATTGCTATTGTCCTTCATTGATTCCAGAAATTGAAGATGTGTCTCTATTGCTGAAGGCAACACAGGATTCTGACACAGAACTTGAATGAGTACAGACAGCAGGTCTGGACCTAGAAGTCTACAACCTGAAGATTAACTTTCACAATATTAAAACATGTTGTCCAAGTTGCCAAGGGAGCAAAAACAACTAGCAATTCTATCCTGCTGTGACACCTATGGAACACATCAATAGCCAGCAATGCAAGCCATCTTTAAATGTACAGTAGTAGCTTTTACAGCATGACAGCAACTAATTCCTTTTGAATGGTTATTAAGATCCCCTCAATAGGAGGAAATTCATGCCTGGTTCTGTAAACATGGGAAATTATGAGTCACTGATGAGGTCATGGAACCTAGAGGAGAATCTAATAGTGAGGCTTTATGAAACTTGCATAGTCTCTAACTGAAAATTAGTAGTGATCATATCACCCACAGATATGTGTTACTTTTGACAGCACAAAGAAACCATTACATACATCCATAACTGTCAAAATAGATGGAACAAGTGAAGATGGGGTGAAGAGCCACAATCAATCGATCTACAGTGCCATGCCTCCCATCTGGGAAAAGGGAATATTTTGGAAGAATAGATAAGATTACTCTAAGAGCCAGAGAACAATGAAGTCTGTGGGCAATTGTGTCTTCTATATAGGACAGTAAAGTGACTCTGTGAAATCTCAACAATATAGTTTGCTGAACAAAAGCCTAAAATGATACCTGTTGACTTATCACTGCGGAAAGGGGAAATTTCAGGGACAGCACTGCTAAATGAAGAGATATTGTCAATTACATTTGCTGGGAACATAATCAGTCTTCCTATGCATAAGCATTCCTATATATAACACTCATACATATATATGTAAGATATTCATTATTTTATATGTGTATATATATAAATAAATATATATTTGATAGAGATGGGAAAACGAAGTAATTACAGAACTTGAATATAAAATATTCAAAAAATGGATTAAAAGGAAAGTGTCACTTTTGATGAAATTTATTATTTTAAAATAATTTTTATCAAATATGGAGAAATTATATATAACACAAGGGGCTATCTATTATGGACATATGGGTCCATGTTATCACTAGTATCAGCATACATTTTTGATTCTATGAAACATAGATTATATGTGCACAGAAAATTGAATTTTAAATTATAACTGTTAAAATTATCGAACTATCCTGGAAAATGTTATAACATTGACATGTAGAATAAAATAAGGTCAACTCAAATTTTTTATTTGTAGATCACTGATCTAATACATAATCCTCATGTGACTTCTGCCTACATGAATGTTTTTCTTTGAAGAATTTTCTTCAAGGCCACACTGACATCCTTATTTCTCAGACTATATATCAATGGGTTCATCATGGGTACAACAATGGTATAAAAGACAGAGGATATTTTTCCTTGGTCCATGGAGTTGACTGATGATGGTTGCAGATACATGAAGGCTAAAGATCCAAAGAAGATAACAACAGCCAAGATGTGAGAACTGCATGTACTGAAGGCTTTGGACCTGCCCTCTGTGGAGTGAATGCGGGCGATGCTGGCAATAATGAAAATATAAGAAGTAATAATGGTAAGGATTGGGACACAGATGTTCAATGTACCAAAAAATAGAATCAACAATTCATTTACATAGGTACTAGAGCATGCAAGCTTCAAGAGGGGAAGAAGATCACAGAAATAGTGGTTGATCACATCTGGTTTGCAGAAGCAAATCCTCGTCATGAAGCCTGTGTGAACTGATGCACAGAGCACACCAAAAAAATACACTCCTAAAATCAGGGAACTGTAAATCTGATAGGACATGGTGACATTGTAAAGCAAGGGGTTACAGATGGCAACATAGCGGTCATATGCCATTGCAGCTAATGTAAAACACTCCGCAATGCCAAAACTGATAAAGAAATAGAGCTGGGTCATGCATGCAGGATAGGAGATGAGATTCTTCTCTGACACAAAGCCCACCAGCATTTTAAGGATGACAACTGTGGACTGACAGAAGTCAATGAAGGACAGACTGCTGAGGAAATAGTACATGGGGTTGTGCAAGTGGGAACTGAGCCCAATCAATGTAATCATGCCCAGATTCCCAACCACAGTAAACACATAGATTGCCATGAAGAAAAGAAAGAAGGGCATCTGGAGTTCTGGCTTCTCTGAGAGCCCAGCCAAGAAGAAATCAGTCACTGTGCAGTGGTTTCCAGCTACCATGTTCTTAATTCAGATCCTGAAGGAATAAAAGAAGTGTAAGATTGTCAGAGAGACATTCTCCTTGTAAGAGTGTCATCAAGCACTTTTTCTTCGTTATCTGGTTAATATGTGTTTCCTTTTATATCCACTCTAAGTCTATGGTTGACATGGGTGTATTCTCCCTAATCATGTATTGGATTCATCCTTCCTATAACATGCTTAGGATGTTACAATTTATGGAGTGCACACTTGCTTCTTGGGCTGTAAGTTACACTGTTAGTCAAATGACAAGGTGGACTTATTTGTATATTTCCCCAGTAATACAAGTCTGGCACATTGAAGGATTTTAAAAGTATTTTTATGGAATATGTGAGTAATTAGATGAGCAATGGTGATATTGAGCTATTTCTGCCTGACATAAGGCAGTGATTGCTCCAGATCTGAGTCATAAATGACATGTTTGAGTGTGAGGCAAATATGCTCACCTTATATCAGCTATAATTCTCAATATCAAGTTTTATTTTCCATTTACAAAGAACACTAATCCTAGAATCAGTAGGAGCATGCCCCCAACATTCTACAGTTAATATTTTGAAGGTCAGATATATTTCTCAATGGCGACCATACCTTTGTGCCTGGTCTGCATCTCTTGTCAGCATCTTCCAGAACTCAGTTCATGTCCGTTGAAGATTCAATTTCCCATCCACAGTTGTCCTGGATTTAATATCTTCAGTTACTGTATGTCAGCAAAACAACATTCTCTGAGGACTCTCACTATTCTAGAAATATGCTCATGAGAAAATAAGCAATTAACAGGATCAATTCCCCATCTGCCTAGTTATTCTTCAAATGGATACCTGTCATTTCTAAAACTGCACATCATAATAAAGACTTTGAGTATGTAGATCACCAAAGAGCTCTGTTAAAATGCTCACCTTGATCCAGCAGAAGTGGATGGGTGTGAGATTTTACATATTTCTTAGGAGCCTCTAGCTAACCTAACAGCCAGAGCCCACACCGGAATAACTAGTTTCTGGAGGAACAATGCCTTTCCTGATGAGTTATGTCTCATTGATTATACATTTAATGATGTTTAAATAATAAATCTATTCAATGCTTGGTAGACCATGTGATTGTTACTAACAGTTTCTCCAAGGATGAAAATTTCTTGCTTTGCTCCTAATTTAAAGAATCCCAGAAGAACAATAGAATGGTCTAAGTGAAGGCAATGTGGGTGGGCATCACTGGGACCATAGAAACAGATGAATTATTTCCTGACTAAACGGAAACCAGAGCAATCCAAATGTTCAAACTATCAAAAGTGTTTATAAGACTAACCTAAGCGTGTTCTATGCTGACAAGCTTATTTTGTTTTACATAATCTGTCCCTTATTGTTTCTTCTATAAGCAGTAAAGATATCAACTATTCAAATTTACGGAGATCATACAAAGTATAGTTAAAACATTATGCCATTCACTACTACATATCAGTTTTATGTTCTAAACAAATTCAATATATCTTTGGTGCTAATTTGCATAGAAAAGATTCATAGGAAGCAGATATACAATCCCTTACCCTTCAGGGAAATGTTATACAAATGTCCATATTTAATAACAACAGAAACTTATGTGAGATATGGAAAATTTTGAGAATTTCAGAAAAAACTCTCAAAATATTATAAAAATAATAGTTCAGAGTATTGAAAGTTATTAAGTGATAGTTTATTGTATGTATAGTAACTATCTTAAAGTGTTCTGCATATCCTGCCTTTAAGCAGCTTTAAGCTCTTGTTTTACCTTTTACATTTCATTTTTTATTAGCACCCAATATATATATGGGTTATTTCCATCCATGCACAACCTATTGACATTAGAATTTCCTTAAGTTCAGATCCACGGAGACCTTGAATATGCTGAGACAATAAGGTCCAACTATATGCTGGTCGTCCTGGGGCTACCTCAGCTGCCACTGCTCAGGACTGGGATAGGTCTCTGCCACAGAATGTGCACCTGGATGGTGGGACAGGTTGAGAAGCACACAAGAGCCATGACCTGAAACCCTGCTGACTACAGTTAGGGCCTCTGGGCGACTGGCAAGTGCACCATGGAACTTAAAGTATGGGTGGATGGAGTTCAGAGGATTGTTTGTGTGGTCACCTGAGTCTCAACTTGCCAGGAGGTTGTAATAGACTTTGCTCAAGCTAAGGGTCAAATTGGAAGGTTTACCCTTATAGAAAGTGGCGAGATACTGAAAGGCACTCGGCTCTACATGAAAACCCCATCATAGGCTTAAACAAGTAAGGTCAGTATGCTAGCAATGTGCAGCTCATATTGTATCGTACTGGGCCATCTCTCAGCCAGCGACCCACCTCAGACAGTGTGGTCGGGATTCCTGGAAGAACTTTGCACCAACAGAGCCTGTCCACCTTAGCCAAACTGCGGCCTCACGTAGATAAGTCAATCAAAAGGAGAGAACCTAAAAGAAAATCCCTGACATTCACAGAAGATGCCGAGGTGCTGATGGGCATTTCTGGAAATGGTAAAGAGAGTTCAGGCAGGAGGTGCTGAATAACTGCAGAACCACCTCAGAGGATCTAAAGAGGCTGATCGGCTCCAGACAGATAAGCTACTGGCCATCGAGCGGCAGCTGGAGTCCAATGAGACAGAAATACATTTCTGGAAACAAAAGTACAATTCTAGCTCTGAAGAGGAAATTGTCTACCTAGAGCAAAAGATCAAAAGGAATGATGTGGAGATGGAAGAGGATGAATTTGGGAAAATTAACTACACATTGAACAAGAAAATGAAAAGCAGCTGCAGGACCAGCTTGAGGAGATACGGCAGAAAGTCACGGATGGGGACAGCAAGCTGAGGGGTCTACCTCTCACAGATCCACAATATGGAAAGTGATCTTGAAGCAGAAAAACCGCACCAAGAAGTTTAAGAGGCACAAGTCAATTAGGAGGAGGTAAAAGGAAAGATTGAAAAGATCAAGAAGCAAATAGACCTCCAAGGGCCGCAGAGTCTGAGACTTGAGAATGGCATTAGAGCCCGAGAGAGGACTCTGGGGCAGGATACCAATTGGTTACAGGACAAGAAACAGGAGCTGGAGCAGTTGATCAAAGAGCTGTGGCAAGCCAATCTCCAGCATTTAATCCAGCAAGGACAAAAGTCACTGTGCTGCCAGCTGAGCCCACTGAAATAGAGGCCTCCCAGGCAGACATAGAGACAAGATGACATTCCAGTCTGGGTCTCTGAAGCGATCTGGTTCATCACGGCAGCTCCCCAGTAATCTTGTATTCTGTAGAAACCCATCCCCTCTGCATTCATTCCTGAAGGCATCTATGTATAGCATTGTCTTCACAGGAGGGATCCAGCCAAGGTACCAAAGACAGTAAAAATCCTTCGGTTTGTGCCAACTGAACAGAGGGTCTTTTCCCAAGCCACTGTATCCTCTCCCAATCCCACATCACTTAGAGCCCTGTGCACTGATGCTGAACATGGAGCCTATTCACAACGCATAGTATTGATGTGTTGTCCAGAGCCGAAATGCAGAGATTTCGTTGTCATTTGTAGCATTCTGAGATCATTAGAAAAGTATTCATCTATGTTTATACATGAATAAACCCTGAATTAAGAGTAAAGTTATGTAACTGTTTAATTTATTCCATGTAACTGATTGATGCGTGAATGTTGCTGTTTAATATTTTATTAATAATTATTCTGTGACTTAATTCTGTTAAATATTGTACGATTCTGACTATGCATGTTGGCAGACTCCATATGAGCTTTGCTCATGTACAGCTATGCAGCCTCATGGGGTGCTTCACCATAAGCACCAATTCCAACCTAGGCCATCCTGAATCCTCTCCTTCCCCTTGCCTATGTGAGACAACTCAGATTGCTTTCTGGTCTGAAAGTTAATCATTTCTTCACAGTATTTCCAAGCACAAATTACCATATACCATCACAGAAATATCTCTAATGGATAAATGGTTTATGTAAAATGTTTATGGTCATAGACACTCGGCGGTGCAACTGATGGCTGTGCATAGGTTTCCTGATACACTCTGACTTCTTTCTGCCTCCCATGGATCCTTGTGGTGACAAAATGTAAGATGGAGAGATCCCCGAGGTTTGGGTCGCCATTCTTTGGGAATCATGGGATACAGTTTAGAACAACCCAATTCCTCTGTATGGTCCATGCCATGTATGGCAGGGGTATAGGCTGCTTGCCATGATTTAACACATGGAGTGGTTTTTCTAATCATGGTTTCAAAAGTAGAGAACATTGCAGTTGGGTATTTTTTTTTAACCAAGAAAATAAAGTTAAATTCAGAGTATGTTTTCATTTTTAAGTTTGACTTCATAGGACCTGTCTCTATTAATGTTTATATCATTTTGTATATTAAGCCAAAAAAGAGTCAATACTTTTCTCATGAACAGTGACATAGCTACATTTTAAGTGATATTTTGACATGCTGATTATAGACATGAACATATCCAACATACTTTTGGTTTAATGAATGTTTACCAGAGCTGAGAATGCTGATGTATTTATGTTTCCAATGAGAAGATTGAAGAATGGTTGTGAAATAACAGATGCTTCTCAAGAACTGAAAGCCATGAATGTTGCCTCTTACCCACATAAATAAATAGCAGACCTCAACTGAAACACTATCTTTGTGTCCTAAGACTTACCAAGTAGATCTTGCCGTTACTGCTTTGCAGATGACTCAAGAAGGAACCACAGTCTGTACACACTTGCTGCAGATTTGTTACAATCATGTGTGTGTGTGTGTGTGTGTGTGTGTGTGTGTGTGTGTATTTAAAAACAATAATTCAAAGTCAAAGTAATTTGTAGGTTTTGTGACAGTAGTGACTCCATGTGCCCAGTACATGCCTTTTTCTCAGATTCTCCTATATGGAGTCATTTAGTTAATCAGCTAAATAAACCTTGATCAAAAGGGACATATCATGTAGCTCCAACATCCAAGTGATAGAAATTGCAGAAAAAAAAACAA